CAGAAGGCAACGATGTCAAAGAAAACATGATATCTATACAAACCAAAATCATTGACTTTAAAGATAGACTATGCAGAGACAACTTAAGAATCATAGATTTCCCTAAAGAACACCACTAATCAAAAACCTTGAACACCATAATGCAAGAAACATAATAAAACTTCCCACAACTTTTAAATACAGAAAACAATGTGCCAATCAAAAGACTCCGTAAACTACCTCCAGAAAAAAATGTTGTGCTTCAAACTCCAAGATATTTATTAAATTGTATCATCATGTATTTAAAAGTATGGAAGAATGAGAATTACCAAATTTTATTATGAACTATACCAAATAGATTTATGTCCTGAAGCTCTTTAGTACACGGTACTGGAGAAGACATTCAGAAAGAATAATGCTGACCCTAAGGAGAACTATCCAGGATTTGGGACTATGGACCTTGCCAAACACATTCCAGTAGATTTCCTGGAACAGTAAATATTAAACTACAGGGAAAGCATAAGGGTAAGGACCAAATGAATCAACCAACTGATCGCCCTCGTCCACGTTAAAATAACCAGCAAAATGCTCTGCACCCAGATGCCTTTGTCAAGTTAAAACACTTGACTGCTATTGAGTCAATGCTATTGAAAAAACACTTCTGTTGAATCAATCAATCAATAAAAAGGCATTAAATTAAGCATGAAAGATCCTTCATCATTTTGGAACGAGGGAAAACCACTAGATGAAATGAAATTCTACAAGGGAAGATTATTAGGAATGGTTGAGAAGACTCAGTCATGGCCTATGGGGCACAGATAAAATAGGAAGCCATTTCAGAATCCAGCATCTGAGTATATGACCAGCCCAGTGGTAGAAATGATCCAAGCTAAGCCCCTGAGAGGAAATCACTTGGGAGGAATAGAAGAACCTTGTCTCCTACTTCCTACCTTTGACTAGAGCAGGCCTGCACACAACCCACATGGCCCACCAAAGGATTTTGGGTGGTCTGTGAAAAATGTTGAGGATGTGAAAGAAAGATGTGACAAGTGCTTTGCCCATTCCCCCTTAACCTGCCTCCCACCAGTCACTCTTGTGCCCATCATGTAACTTGGCAGTTAAGTTGCTACTGCACAATCCTGTTTGTCACATGACCCATGGCAACCAACCATCATCAGTCTGTCTCTAAAAACCTATCTGCAGCCTAAAGAAGTTTAGCCTATTTTAATTTTGACCCCTACCTACTGCCAAGTTGTACAGGTCTGGACTAGACGATGACCTTGTAAGCTTAGAAGTATTGGAAGATTTTGGCTTATCAGTAGCCTAGTAGTATCCCTGAGATGGCAGAGACTAGTGGAAGTGTCTGCATCAAGACACCTAAACATTGCTTTAACTTAACATATATTCATTCCAATTATAGACAATGTCATTCCCAAAAATAAAACCACTTCAGTGTCTAACTTTAACTTCCATGAATAAAGATAACTGTCTGATACAATTTCATCAGAATAGTCCCCTTCCTCAACAGGAAGGAGGAGGAAATACATGAAGACAGGAAATACATGAAGCTAGAATCAGTCTTCAGTTCATAAATGCATCTCCAGATATCAAAGAAATTTAACCAATGCCTGTATTTGTCCTTATCTTTTTTGTTTATTCAAGGATAACTAGAATCTGCTTCCCTTATGTTGATACATTTTTTCAAGGCTACACCTCCCTTTGTCACCCTGAATATATAACAAGACTAGCCCTAACTTCCTTGGACCATTCAATCATCCAATCATCCTAAAGTTCTGGGCAACGTTGGTTTCTAGGAGCTATCCCATCTACTGTTTCATCTCTTAGAAAAAGAAGCAACATTGAAAACTAAGATAGACTATGCACATATATCTTTATATCCTTTTGTACTTTTGCCAAATAATAATCTGTATGCCACCAATAAATTCCACAGTTATGTCAGCTAGCTGAGTGTAGAACTTTGTTTCTGTTCCTTGAAATCTCAGATTGGACTGGCAGATATGGCACTGTGAGTAGTATCGGGGACAACAAACCATAGATCTAATTTAAAATGTCTTCCTAGCATTGAAAATCCTAGGTAGGGAAGAGTTGATGTCTACTTCCTTGCAGCCAAGTGACTCTTAGAATTAACTGATGTAATGAGATGTAATAAAAGAGAGTAAGCTTCCAAAAATATGACTGAGGTGAGGAAAATTTATGAGAAACAAAAATGCACACAAAAGGCTGCTTTTAACAGTGCCTAAAAAACTTTTAGTATAACATTGTTGGGAGACCAGGCAAAGTATCTGCCTGCCAGAAGAGTTCTTTCTCCTTCATCCCCCTCCTCCCATCCCAAGCTAGCCACTACCCATTTACCCTTCTAAGTGTGCCAGTGGGGACCCCTTGCTACCACAGAACCCATCTGGGTGTTAAACAGGACAGAGCAAGGGATACAAGGTACCCTCTTCAGTCTTCCTACTAATGGCCCCTTTGCTTTCTCCCCTCCTGGCTGGTCAATGATCCACCCCTATTTCTAATTCTGCCAAAGGGAACCCAGAATCCTCTTCTATTACATCCCTCTGATCTACTTTCTCCCTTTCTAACAGTGGTAAATAGGGTTCCTTCAGGACCTCTTGCCCTTTGGGTAAGAAATAGACATTGCCTGGATGAACAGGGACTCACCAACCACAATCCTCCAGAAGACAGAGGACTTCCAGGTTTAATCACCTACCCTGCCACTGTGTTCTAAGGTCCTCCAGGCCTTATCGTCTGCTATTCCCTTCTGATACCAAGGAAATATCATTTGATCTGTCACTATACCCTATCACATCTGATTTCTCGACCTTTCCATCTGCCATGCAGCTTAACTCTCTTTTTTATGTATTGTCTCCCCCACTGAAATACAAATTCCTTCAAAGCAAAGATTGTCAAATTTCTTTTTGTATCTCAAGTGCTTAGCACAATGCTTGGCACTTAGTAAGCACTTAATCTTTTTTTTTTCATTCAGTCATTCATAATTCAACTTGGCCACATAGAACTTGAGAGTTAGGATGCAGAAAGAAGCACATGAAACTTTCAAGAGGCACTAGTGGAAGCTCATTCTAGAGCTGAAAAGAACCTGAAAAAAACAAAACAAAAAACAAACCTTGGCATTCCAATTAACTAATCTTAGAGACAGTCAAACATGTAAACAATAAAACAGAAAAAGCTATGCTACTTAGCATGGATCCAGGAAGGTTAGCTAAAGTACTTCTTGACTTATAAAATGTCTGAAGGACTTTACCTGAAGTAAATGAGTGTTTTAACATTTCATGTTTCAGTGTTAAATCTATATTTATGTGTTGTGTAAGGGTAAGTGTATGAATCATCTGTATAGGTAGGCATTGGAATATTTTGATCAATTTGGATTACAAGAGGCTATATTTAGAGAGGTAAAGGACCTTACAAATCAAGTCTAACCCTCGGTTACAGATGAGGAAACTGAGGCCCAAAGAGATTAAGATTTGCCCAAAGTCACATAGGTTGTAACTCTGGATTTGAACCCAAATCCTCTAACTCTAATCCAGGATTTCCTAACCTATAATCCATAAACTTTTTTTCTATTTTGATAACCACATTTCAATACAATTGATTTCCTTTGAAAGACTATATATTTATTTTATGCATTTTAAAATATTATTCTGAGAAGGGGTCCATTGACTTCACTAGATGGCCAAAAAGGTCCTTGACACAAAAATGGTTAAGAAACCTTACCCCAAACACAATACCTCCTACATTGTACTATTTTGCTCTCTTTCATAAAGCTTAAGAGAACTATTAGAGATCATATCTGCTTTTAACTCTCTTTGAAAGAGTGAGTAAAAAGCTATTTCCATGAAAGGGGGAAAACAATTCCCTAATAGAATGTCAGCGGACTGTAGCAAAATGGAACAGGAGTAGAAGAGAACAATTTGAATTTGAGAATTTGGCACTTGTAAACTTCATACTACAAAGTTTCAGCTGACATCTTCTTAGCCTGTCTAGCTAGGAATCTAGCTCACAAATTTGTAGCAATAAAAGAAGACTAAATGTATAGATTAGGATGTTTGTTTATGATGAATTAGTAGTAATCTCATTACACATACAGAACAAAGAAATATCTAACTCCTTTCTAATTTTTTTTAAATTTTGGTTCATAGGATCATAGAAATATTTTAACTCTTTTAAGGAATGTTCATTAAAATATTTTATGGATTACAAATTATAAGGGGATGAAAATTGGGATTGATTTAATTATAAAGTCCTTTTTATAATTAGAGGATTAAAATTAGTTATCAATGGCATTAAGCTTTGATATTGTTCTTTACAGTAGACTTCTGAATGAATCCCTCATAAACTACCAAATTGGAGGGACATAGGCATTCCCTGCGAATCATTTGGATATTTGCATCCATGCTGCAGTTAATTTTGGAAAGATAAGTTTTATTACAATAAATTGAAAAAACATAACGTAGACAGGAAAGTAGTAAAACTAATCTTCCTTCAAGTCTTGAAGGAACAAAGGCAATACTCACTGGTATATACTAACAGATTGTTTTCAGACCTCTCTGGCTTCCTTTAAGTCATAACTAAAATCCTGTCTTCTAAAGGAAGCTTTCCCTAACCCCTCTTAATTCCAGTACTTATTCTCTTTTAATTATTTCTTTTTTATCCTGTATGTAGCTTGCTTTGTATATACTTGTTTGCATGTTGTCTCCTCCATTAGACTGTAAGCTCCTTGAGGGCAGAGACTGTCTTTTGTCACTTTGCATCCTGAGATCTTATCACAGTGTCTGGTACATAATACTTGCTTAATGTTTGATTGATCGATAAATTTATGCCTTGCCCCCTTGTTGCTAAACACTAGCTCTTTCTAGAAAGTGACTAAGGCAAAGAGACAACCTAAGGACATTTAGAGCCAACCTAGGGAGATCCTCCCCTCTTTTCCCCCCCCATTTCCTAGCCATAATAATGGTTATTTCACTCTAAAATTTCCCTTTGATGTAATGGATAATGGGAGTGAGAGGTAAGACCTCTGAATGTAATTAAAATGTGGATTTGAATTGCAACTGTAAGGGGTGCTGTTTTGTTCATAAAGATAAGGAAGGTCTAAGCTTATTTTTAGGCAAGGAGAAAGATTTGGCAGGTAGATTGAAATGTAAGAGAGAAGAAATGATGGATGGCATCAAGAGCATCTGTGGAGAATTGGTCTTGGCAAGGAAACGGGCCACATTATCTTCAGAGACTGGATCAAAGAAGTATAGGGTTTAGAATAACCACACCACTGAGTGAGATGAGTATTCATTAGACATAAATGAAGGTATTTCTGTGCAATAATGAGAGCCCAGTTGAACTTAGATAATTTGACATAACATCTGCACTCCAATTCAATTAACTTTATTGGTTGTTGCCTATTAGTTATGCTAGGCCATTGGAATGGCGTAGATGTAGCTGTGGCATAGTAGCAAAAGCACCGAGTTTTGAGCCAGAAGATCTGGGCTTAAATCCCAGTTTTCTCATTTATTGGCTTTGTGACAGTGAGCATGACACCACATGTCTAGACCTCAGTTCTCTCCTAAAATGCCTAAAGGATCATAGCACTGCTGCGAGGTGCATGATGATTACATAAAGTATTTTGTAAACCATGAAATACTATATCACTGTTGGCAATATATTATTGCTTTTTTACATGCATTTCTCTATCACTTAAAGGACTATTTCTGTAAATAAATGTGCTACAAGCTATGTGTTTAAATCAATGGGAACCTGTACCTGATTTAAAATACCTGATTTAAAAGAAGAAAGGTTTGTGGCAAGTTACATTTTTGTATTAGAAGAGTATTATTACTTTGCCTCATGTCTTCACTAGATATGTCTGGATGGTTATGATTATATGACATGATGGAAAATTATATGACACATGATGGGAAAAAGCACTAATTCTAGCCCCAACTCATCCGCTACTGTGTGGCCAAGATCATGACCTAAGCTCTCTAGGCCTCACTTTTCTCCTCTGTAAAGAGAATTAGAGTAGATAAGGTTTTATCCAGCAATAAAATTCTAATTTTTCTGCATCCTACCATTGTGCTTAGTAAAATTCACAAAAAATACTTTTGATTAAGATAATACCCCTATTAGAGTTAACATTTGGGGGACTAAAGAAAATCCAGAGCCCCTCAAAATATTTAGGCCTGTGTTTGAAATTATCTGCACTGCCACCATACCTATGATCGTATGATTTACAAATAATAAAAAGGTAAAATGTAGTCCTTTCCTGGCTTAAGAAATCAACCCTTACATTAATCTGACATAGAGATTATTATTTGGTCCACTAATAATCACAATAGATCTCTTTAATTTGCCAACTAGATCAGAGAATCATAGAACTAGAGAAGCTAGAAAGGTCCCTACAAACCAATCCAACCCCCTTATCAAGATGTATAAACTGAGGACCAGAGAAGGTGACTACTGAAATAGCCTTCTGGTTGCTCTCCTTGCCTCCAATCCCTCCCCATTCCAATCTATCCTCCACTCAACTATCAAACTGATCTTCCTAAAAGTACAGGTCTGACCATGTCACTCCCCTCCATTCAATAAACTACAGTAGCTCCCTATTGCCTCCAGAATCAAACATAAAATCCTGTCTTTTAAAGTGCTTCACAACCTGTCCCCCCTTTCCACCTCTATTTTTTTTTTTTACACCTTACACTCCTCCAGTACTGGGCAAGCCAACAACACTGGCCTCCTTGCTGTTCCTCAAACACATGATCCTCCAGTTTCCAACTCTTGAATACTTTCACTAGCTGTCCTCCATGCCTGGAATGTTCTTCCTCCTCATCTCCACCTCCTGGATTCTTTGGTTTCCTTTAAGTCCCAGCTAAAATTCCATCTTTTTATAGGAAGCCTCTCCTGATCTCTCTTATTTGTAGTGCTTTCCCTCTGCTAATTATTTCCAATCATTCCTGTGTATAGCTTACTTGTACATAGTTATTTTCATGAGCTCCTTGAAAAGTAAACAATGCTCCCCCCCATCCTCAATACCTGGCATAGTGTTTGGCATATAGGAGGTGCTCAATAAATGCTAGTTGATTTGACTTGTGCCAGAACCAGAACTAAAACCCAAGTCCTGTGAGTTAATGTCTAAGGATTTTGATTTTTAGATTTTTCTGGCTAGGGACAGGCAAGAAATGTTGATAAAAATATATTTGCCTAGAATCTTACAAATCTAACCAAAAGGGCTCTAAAGTGAAAAGGGCAGGAGAAGTAGAAACCAATTTGCCAAGGAAAAGACCATAAATATCAAGAGCTACAACAAATAGAAAATAGTAAAGTGCCCATATTTCACGAGGGAATAAAATCCTAGTAAAATATTTATGTCCAAATACATAAAGTACCAGTAATACTAGATCTCTAGATCCCAAGGTAAGGATGAAAATTTGAAATTATATGTAATGAGTCGTGATGGGTTGGAACTCAGGAGCAGAAAATGGTTCTCAAAGGAACAGTGGACAGTAGTGGACAGCAGAAAGAAGCATGAGAAACTGACAGAGAAGCAGAAGCAACAGACTACCGGGACAGAAGGAGGAAACAGATCATGAGCCTGGAACAAATAATATTATGGTGATGGGGGAGTTCAAAGTAAAGCAAATGATCGATGCATAACTTGTCTTTCTTATTCCACTCTAGACCCAGAGCAGGCTCAGGGCAGGAGAAGCCCTTACAGGAACGTTTTCAGGCCTCCAAGGCCTCCCTCTATCCTCTACCCCAAACTGTCTCATAGGTTTAAAAAAAAATTTACAAGCACATGGCGGGAAGAGCATGGCTTTTTGAGGGAATAAAAAATCTGACTCTACACAGGCGAGCAGGTTGAGAAGGCTGCCCAAAAAATAAGACAAGCCTAGTCTAGCACAGACCCGCGGGCAGCACGCCCTGTGGGAGGGGTCTAGGGGCAACCTGGGGGCGCCAGGGGCTCGAGGCTGGACCACGAGCTGGGGGGAGGGGTGGGCGTGTGGCCGAAGGGTCGGTCACGTGCCGCAGCCGTTGCAGAGGCGTTGCTGCAGATCGGTGGGCCGCGGGCTCGGGCTCCAGGCCGGCATGGGACTGGCTCCTGCGAGGTCCAGAGGCATTGGCCCCCGCGCCGCCTCTTCCCCGCCCCTCCTCCAGGAGGGGCGCTGGCTCGGGCCCCCGAAGGCCTCTGGAGGGGGGAATTGGAAGGAACAGACGAGCCGCGCCCAGTCCGCCCCACGGCCTCTTCACCTCCGCGGTCGCCTCCCGACGTTCGCAGCCTCGACATTTCCCGCAGCCCCGCCAGCAGCAGCGGCAGCGACTCCCCCCGAGACCATGCCCTGGAGACGCCTCTCCGCCCTGCTCCGCAACCGCTGGACCCGGGGCAGCCCCCCCGGGATGGGCTCCGGGCGCCGTTTGGAACACAGCGAGTTCGTCGAATACACCGAAGCCCCTGAGGGCCAGTCCGGGCCCGTGGAGCCGGTGAACGCCTCGGTAAGGGAGGGGGCGGGCCCCGAGGCCGATGGTGGGGAAGATGGAGGGGAGACCGCTGTTCAGGGCCGTTGTCCGCGGCCTGCGGGGGAGCAAGGCCTAACATCCAGGCTGCGGCCGAGGCAGGGCAGGGCGGGGCGGGGATAAGGCGCGGAGTGGAGGGAGGAGGAAAGAACCCCCACCCGAAGGGGCGGCCGCGGCGGGACTTGTGTCGAGGGCCCGAGGGAGCATTGTCGAAGCGTCAGGGGGAGGAGCGAGGACAGCAATGAGACCTTTGGGGGGGTGGGGGGTGTTAGGAGAGGACTAGAAAGGATTTAGGATCCTTGTGAGAAATGGCGGGAAAGGGCGAGAGAAGGGACGGTTGTGGGGGAGCGTTGGGGTGAGGAAACGTGGAGGGCAGGGCCATTTTGAGCAGGAGGGGCAGAGACGGGGCTGTTACCGAGGTTGAGGAGACAGGCAGCTCAGCCTGAAGATGGCGGAGGCCGAGTGGCCGTGATGGAAGGTGCGGTGTTGGGTTGGGGCCCGGAGGAGGCGGGAAAGACGGTTATTGGGGGACTGGCAGAGTCGTTGGAGCGGTTGGAGAGGGGAGTGGGGGAGGAGCCGAGGGAGGAAGATGAAAAGGAGGCGGAGACCTGGGGGCCCGGAGCACCCCGCCCCCGGGCTCGATTTCTTCCATTTAAGCCCCTCTGTCCAGCTCCTTATCAGGATTTGTTCACTCTTGGCTTATTTTTCTCTCCTTCCGCGAAAAAGGACCGTCCTACTACCCCTGCCTTCTGGGGTGGGCATTGATTTGGCTGTGGGAGTTCAAACAATGCCTGCCCACCTCTTAGGGGCTCAGTTTCCACATCTGAAAAATGTGCAGAAGTTGGATCTTAAGGTTCCATTCAGCTCTAAATGCCATGAACTTGAGAATTTCTTTTAAGAATTAAACTGTCAATAAACAACCGTTCCAAATGCCGCAAGAAAACTAGCATATTTCGGCTTCCCTCTTCTTTAGTTTCCAAAACCAAATATTTCTGGAAAAGTCATTAAATTGGTAATAAACTGGCCCTTCAGGAAGATTTTTATACATAATAGTAGGCATTTAATTAAATGTTTGAATTGAAGTCATTAATTCAACCTGCAGATAATTATTAAACACCATTTTAGGGGGGAACAACGAAGTTTAGAAAAATTGGGCTCTGCTGGCCTGGAGTTATCCAGTTTGCTTATTAATATTTAAATTTTTTATCTTTCAGGAAGCCACCTTTGCCTTAATAGTGTTTTTTTCTTCACACTTAATACCATGTGGATGGTTTTTGAGCCGCATGGGGAGCTACAGAAGAGTCCAGATTTGAAGATGGAGAGCAGTTATAACAGCCCTTTTCTAAATGCTTTACAAAAATACTTAAATTTTCATATAAAGTAAAAGTGCTTGGTTGCTGACAACCATTGTAGGTTTAAAATTTCAAAATTTACATGATTAGATTGAATACTGAATATTTTATAGCACTTTGCCTCATTGATATTTTTGTTCAGTTCTTGCTAAATAAAATTGAAGCAAACAATCTTTCTTGGTATTACTTGTGATTACTGATACATTTCTAAGAATTGTGAAAGTTATGGCGTGAAAAATCAGTAATAAGATTTGCCATAGTGTCAGACTCATGTTCCACTAACTCAGTGACACAGAAATAATATTTTTGTCCATGATTTTTTTGTCCATGATTATAACTAAGGTCTTTTTTCAAATTACTCATATTTCTGTTGGCACCTCCTTTGGGAGTAATGTTTCATACTTTACTCCCCACAATATAGCGTAATATTTCCTTTCATTATTTTTTAAAATTAAGTTTCAAGGAACGCTACTTCACTTTTAATTCTAAAGTTTGGTGAACAAGTTTGATCATACTTAGACTTTATTCAGCTTGAAGTTTATACTTGATTTTTAAAATTACTCAAGTAAAAGTATAAATGGATTTACCAGTATGTGCTAACTAATCTAGTATGATTTCTGCTTCCAAAAGACATTAGTCATTTTTCAGAGCAAAAAATTATAGAGCTTCTTGAAATTTTTTTAGAATAAGGCATTTCATATACAGGTATACAGGTTAACTGGCTTTACAAAAATATGACCAGGTACAACAGTATTACAGGGACCAGTTCCATGATGACAGTTTTATAAGTGGAAGATTAAGTTCCTCAGCAGGGAAACTCCAGAGTATAAACATTTAAAATCAGTATTTAACAAAGACTTGAAATGATTGGTTTGAGTGGGCCATTTGGATATACTAACAGACCTGATGTGGGTAGAAGACCTAATAGAATAAAACATTAGCGGAAACTCTTAAGCTTTATAGGAAAAGGGAGTTAAGTGGGTAGACGTGACCAATTACAAAGCAAGAAAATAAGATACATGTTTTAAGAGGGACGTTTTGGAATAGCATTGATTAAAAAAAAAATCAGAGAGCAGCTATGGTAGAGAGACCTAAATATACTATTGAAGAACCTGTGCTTTGAACCAGGCTCTAACACTCTTTGGAGGAAATCACTTCCTCCATGGGCTTCAGTTTCCTTATCTGTAAAATGGAAGAGAGGTTGGACTTGAAAGCCTTTGTGCTGTCTTACAGCACTACATCTGTGATTTCTACAAATACCTCTCATCCTCAGGAATCTAAACTTCTCTGAGAATTTAGCTTGAGATGAAAATATTTGCAAGATGATGAGATATTGTTTCTCCAAAAAGGAAAAGTGTGTTCACAAGTGAGACAAAATTTCCCATAGCACTCCGCTTAGAACTCTATTTTGTACTTTTTATTTGACTCTCTTGGATCCGTTATTTTTATTTTATCTAGATTGTAAATTTATTGAGAGTAGGGTCTGTGTTGCATGTATTTTGGTATCAGCACCTATGCACAATCCCTTATATATGATAGGTGCTTGAATTGCTAATTTAATTGCTAATTTGCAAACACACCCAGTTTTTCAAGTACTCTAGTGAGGCTGCAATCACGATTTAATAAGGTACATGGGGCAAACAGCACAAAATACAGAGTCTGTCTTCGGGAAAAAAAAATACTGAGGCAGATGGTATGAGGACAAGGATAGGGTGGGGAAGAGAATAGGGAGAGTACAGAGCCACAGAGAAGCACATAACCATGGATTAGAGTTGGGAGCACTTGGCAGCATGAACTGAAATGGAAAAGTGGGAGAGAGGAGGTGGAAGGGCAGGAGTTTGAGGTCTGATTTTTATTTTTTTGTAAATTTTTAGATTTTAGACTTAAATACAAAATAAAAAAACACGAAGGAAAAAACATTGCCATGTGCACAGCAGAACATGAGAGGATTCAAAATATAAATAAATTTCCATTTCAAGAAAGCCTATATAATACTACACATTGTGTTTAGAGCTAGCCATCTTTTCTCTACTTTTGTTAAGTTTTGTGCTGTGCACTTTGTGTTCTTTTTTCCCCTTCTTCCTCCCCCAAGAAAGCTACAATTAAGTGCAGATATATGTAGATATATACATATATATACACACACACCTATATACATATACACACAAACATATATACACACATACATACATATACATGATGTCTGTAATTATACACATGTATTCAAGTGCATCTATGTAAGACTGTACTATACTTGTTTGTGCTCTGTTTCTCTGAAGGTGGATAACATCTAAGTACCAAGTCTTTCCGTATTTTTCTATATCCACCAACAAATAATTTTCTTTTTTAAAAAAATTTATTTTTAGTTTTCAATATTCACTTCCAGAAGATTACAAATTCCAAATTTTCTCACTATCACTACCCTCCCCCCACCCCAAGATGGCATGCATTCTTATTACCCCTTCCTCTAATCTGCCCTCCTATCACCCCCACCTTCTCTTACCCCCTTCCCATTCTATTTTCCTGTAGGGTAAGATAGATATCTATATCCCATTACCTGTATATCTTCTTTCCCAGTTGCACATAAAAATAGTTTTTCGCAATTGTTTTTTAAAACTTTGGGTTCCTATGCCCAAAGGGCTATAAAAATGTGAATACTCTTTGACCCAGCAATAGCACTTCTAGGGCTATATCCCAAAGAGATCATAAAAATGGGAAAAGGACCTACATGTACAAAAATATAGCAGCTCTTTTTGTGGTGGCAAAGAATTGGAAATTAAGAGGATGCCCATCAATTGGGGAATGGCTGAACAAGTTGTGGTGTATGAATGTAATGGAATATTATTGTGCTATAAGAAATGATGAACAGGCTGACTTCAGAAAAACTGAAAAGACCTGTATGGACTAATGCTGAGTGAAGTGAGCAGAACCAAGAGGACTTTGTACACAATAACAGCCACATTGTGTGATGACTAATATTGATAAACTTAACCCTTCTCAGCAATGCAAGGATCTAAGACATCTCCAAAGGCCTCATGATGGAAAATGCTGTCCACATCCAAAGAAAGAGCTGTGGAGTTTGAATGCAGATTGAAGCACATTATTTGCTATTTTTTTTTCTTCTGTTGTGTTTTCTTTCCTCTTTCTGGTGCTTCCTCCTATTGGTTCTAATTCTTACTTACAACACCACTAATGTGAAAACATGTTTAATAGGAATGTATATGTATAACCTATATCAGATTGTGTGCTCTCTTGAAGAGGGAGGGGGAGAATAATTTAAAACTAAAAAGCTTATGACAGTGATTGTTGATAATTCAAAATAAATTAATAAAAAAATGTTTTAAATAAAAAAAACTTTGGGTTCCAGATTTTCTCCCTTTCTCCCTCCCCATCCACCCTCATTGAGAAGGCACGCAATTCAATATAGGTCATACATGTGTAGTCATGCAAAACACTTCCATAACAGTCATGTAGTAAAAGACTACCTTTCCCTCCATCCTATCATGCCCCTGTTTATTCTTTTTTCTCCTTTGACCCTGACCCTCCTCAAAATTATTTACTTCTGATTACTCCCCTCCCTCAATCTGCCCTCCCTTCTATCTAATCCTCTCTCATCTCCTTCCCCCCTACTTTCCTGTAGGGTAAGACAGATATCCATACCCAATTGAGTGTGTATATTATTCTCTCCTTAAGCCAAATCCAATAAGAGTAAGGTTCACTCATTCCCTCTCACCTCCCCCCCCTTCCCCTCCACTGTAAAAGCTTTTTCTTGCCTCTTTTATGTGAGATAATTTACCCTATTCTACCTCTCCCTTTCTTCTTCTCCCAGTACATTCCTCTCTCACCCCTTAATTTTATTTTTAAATATCTTCCCTTCATAATCAGCTCTGTGCCCTCTGTCTATACATATTCCCTCTGACTACCCTAATACTGAGAAAGGTCTCATGGATTACAAATATCATCTTTCCATGTAGGAATGTAAACAGTTCAACTTTTATAAGTTCCTTGTGATTTCTCTTTCCTGATTGCCTTTTCATGCTTCTCTTGAGTCTTGGATTTGAAAGTCTAATTTTCTATTTAGCTTTGGCTTCTCTAGAATACATTAAATTCTTCTACGTCATTGAATGTCAATTCCCACCCACCCCCCGCCATTTATTACACTCAATTTTGCTCAGTAAGTGATTCTTGGTTTTAATCCTAGTTCCTTTGACCTCCAGAATATCATATTCCAAACCCTCCAATTCCTTCATGCTGCTTAATCTTGTGTTATCCTGTTTGTGTTTCCATAATACTTGAATTGTTTCTTTCTGGCTGCTTGAAATATTTTCTGCTTGACGTAGGAACTCAGAAATTTGGCTATAATATTCCTGGGAGTTTTCATTTTGAGATCTCTTTCAGGAGGTGATTCGTAGATTCTTTCAATTTCTATTTTATCCTCTGGTTCTAGAATATCAGGGTAGTTTTTCCTTGATAATTTCTTGAAAGATGATGTCTAAGCTCTTTTGTTGATCATGGCTTTCAGGTAGTCCAATAATTTTTAAATTATCTCTCCTGGATCTATTTTCTAGGTCACCTGTTTTTACAGTGAGATATTTCACATTGTCTTCTATTTTTTCCTTCTTTTGGTTTTGTTTTATTGTTTCTTGATTTCTCATAGAGCTTCCATTTGCTCCATTCTAATTTTTAAGAATTATTTTCTTCTGTGAGCTTTTGGACCTCCTTTTCCATTTGGCCAATTCTGCTTTTTAAGGTATTCTTCTCCTCATTGGTCTTTTTGGACCTCTTTTGCCATTTGATCTAGTCTATTTTTTAAGGTGTTATTTTCTTCAGTATTTTGGGGGGTTTGTTTTAGCAAGCTGCTGACTTGTTTTTCATGATTTTCTTGCATCACTCTCGTTTCTCTTCCCAATTTTTCCTGTACTTCTCTTACTTGCTTTTCAAACTCCTTTTTGAGTCTTCTATGG